AATCACTAAGTTCGCTGAAAACTTGTTGTCAACTGGGGTAGTTTGACCCCCTAAACACGAATATCACATCCGTACAGTCTGAAACCGCCTGACGCATACGCCACAAGCGACCCATCACAGCTTGTTCCGACTCCGGCGCGTGTAGCACAGACTCCAGTCGCTCTGTGGGGCAGTTGGGCAAACTGGCCGAAGTAACCACAACTTTTCCTGGTTGCCTGTCATAGAAATCCTTCCCTTTGCTGAGGTTCAGCCTTAGCAGAGAAAGGGCCTCATCTCAGGGGGAGGGTACAGACGCAGGTTGCGCAATCACATTACTCCTTTTTCTCTATCCCAAACGTTCTCTATCGTTTCTCTATCCACACAGATGTGATGTTCGTGTTTAGGAGGTCAAACTGCTCCAGTTGAAAAGTTTATTGGTTTTGGTGATTTGAGTATTGGCGCCGGCGCCAGGCATTTCCGGGCTCAGCTAACGGGATATTTGTGTCCAGGAGGCAGACTACCCTAGTAGGCAACTTTTCAGCCAATTCTGCTTACGCAGAAAAGTCGGTCAAAAACTGGCCTGATTCCGGGTGATTTGGGCAGTAAAGGTAAACACTGCCTAAAAGTCTTGAAAGAGAAGCACAATTGCCGGCATTTAAGCCTTTTCCTGCTGCAAGTAAGAGCAAGCTTGACAAAATAACGGATAAAAGTATTTTCTGAACTCGCAGAAGATGTTCCGAAAAATGCAAAAATCCGAACTTGTCAAGGAATCGAACCCATGACCTTCCAACCATGAAGCAACCTACTTATCCACTACACCATCCACCGCCTGAGACCGTTGTACTCGAACTTGAGCTACGCAAAGGAGGATCGGCGAGTGCTATGCTAAAACCACCACCCCCCTAACTCCTCATAGAGAATCGTTCGGCAAATTTTGGAAGCAGATTTGAGTTCAGCGTCCCGAGACGTACACGTCGATATGCATCTCATCTTGAATGGCCATGGCGACCTGTTGACCTTCCCTGGTAAGCAGCAGCCCTAAAGTGCTTTCATACTTTGCGTCAGCTGGATCGATAGCAAGACTTCCCGTAGAATGAATCCGATAAGGCAAGAGGTCAATGTATGAACGCTCTCTCGAGAAAATATCGCGAAGGAGTAGTGGTGGCTCTTTACCTGAACTGCTCACGAAAACTTGGAAATCACAGCTGTCAATACCGGCCATGTTCTCCACAAGCAGAGCATAGACATCATCGTCATTAGGATTACAGTCCGCAATTTCCATTGTGAATGTCCCATCTGGAAGAAAGCCATTAGAGAAATAACTGACCAGTTTTATTCAGCAGAAGGACATTACTGTGCCATACCGGGTTGAACGTCGATGCTGTATTTGTCGGGATGGAGCGCGGGATTAATTTCTACTCCATTTTTCAACCAAATCATCTCCGGAATCGGGTAACCGCACATCTTCCCTTGTAATCTGTAATCGTCAAATCTGTTATCTGTCTAAATTTGTATAATGTTAGTGAAGGTCCTCTGCACGAAGCGATCAAACCTTGCTGTCTGTCCGCTGGAAACGCACACATCCGCGACTGAGTTTAGTCGGTGCATGCTCGGCTGCTTCAAATTCATGTTCAAATGCGTCGTATTTTGAATATCCTGAATATAGTTTCTGATCAAGATGTCTTCACTATTCAAGCGACGAGCTAAAGGCAGACTGTGCGTGAATTGGCAAGGGGCAGGTGCGTTACTTCAACACGACACTGGTCGAACGGTCCAATGGTCCACGTATGGAACCAGTCCGCTTCCAGCCAGAAGCTGCCACCTTTAACGAAGTCTAGTCTAAAACGATTTGCTGCGCTTGACAATTTTTTTGGACTGGGCGGGAGTCAAGCCCGGAGTCCAATTAAGGACTGCCCGGGTGCGTTAGCGCTGCCATCTGCCAATCATGCACTCCTCGCTCCTCATTATCGCGATCAGATATTCTGTTCAAAAGACTGAAAAAGATTCCACCCGCCCCGGGAAGTTAAAAGCTAGATGATAACAACAAGAAATCGTCGACGTCTAGTTCCACAAATGAACCCCCTCGTCAGTGCATTTGTAGGAGCAAAGGGGGAGCAAATGCTGTGATTGGGCGAGATCACTGAGCAGTGTGTTGTGGTCGATTTGGTCGCCGCAATTCATCCCAGCTGATTTCTTACTGACAGCAATGTCCCTGCCTACATTCTTTGGCGGGTCTCCTGTAATCATGGCTGGGTAGAGCAGTCCAAGTACAGCTTCAACCTAATCCCTTCGAAAGCGTTGCTCTTCCGTTTCTCTCTGCAATCTCTCGGGTTATGGCATTCTATGGTCATTTTAATCCCGATTATTCCAGCTTTCTACGAATAATAAGTGGCTCACCCACCCCAAGAGTCCCCTCCCTTTTAGCACGCCCGTTTCTTGGCTCGCCACATGTTTATGGACAATTAGATGCTTTGGCAACCCTCTATCTGTCTGCGTTACATGGTCTGGAAACAGAACTATGCACAAAAGTTCAAGATGTCACATAACGGGTATAGCGGTGGGCGGGGTCAATGAAGGCGGGTCGGGCCGATGAAAGGAACGACGGTCTGAGAACCCTCCTTATCGCTTTTTGCACCAACCGGTGCAACCACTGCCCCTGTGAACCAAGCCACTTGCTCGCGGAAAAAGAGTAACCCTGCATTTGGTCGCGGAGCGTGCCTTTGAAAACTAGGCTCAGTGCCTTACTTTGCTTCGTTTCCTCTGCAACATCGATATGCGCAACGAATTCGTCAGTTCCCAGCTGGTTTTTAGCCTTTATCGTGAGTTTCCCTCCGTCCTCCACATGCAATGAGTCGACAGAGAAAGTGAAACTGTAGAGATCGTCTCCTTCCTTCACTAGTGATTCAGCCCGATTAGCGCATATCAGATCGTCGTTGTGGTATACAGATATCTGAAAAACATTGCGTCATTACCGTGGTAGTGATAGGTATCACAAGGAAGGCTTCGTACGGAAGGTTCCGGGTGGGCCGAAATGAATGCCTTCACTGATAGCGGATTGCCCTCTGTGCATTTCACCGTCTGCTTCTTGATTCTGAACACAGGCGCTCTACAGTTCTTCTCACTTCCACTTGTCTTGTCGAGCGCTGAAAATCAGAACCTTGGCAATTCACTCACTCTAACAAATTACCCCTAAGACAGTGAGTACAATTGCTGGGGGGGGGGTATCGGAAACGTCATAGGTGGAAGGGCTGATTGGAGTGGCTAATAGCTCTCTCATGGTCCTTCCACCAATGACGCTGGCAACGATCGCTCGCCTCCACCGAATGTGCCCACTGCCTTTCAGCAATACTCACCTGCTGAAGAAGTCAGCTTGAAGACGCTCTTGGACTGCAACCCTTTCGGTTTGAAGATCTCATTGTCGGATTGTTCCATGGTCGCATCTGAGTCTGTTCCGAAATCTGCCATCTGATCAGTGCTTTGGTCGCCAAAGTCATTCTCACTATCCAAAATCTCACTACCTTTCAGATATTTTTCAGACATTTTGGCCTTCTTCTTGAGTAATTTCTCTGTCTCGTCTGATAAATATTTGACATTTGAAGGCTTCGATTTCTTAGCCACTTCCTTCTTTTGGAGGGACGATTCCTGAACTTGTTTGGCTTGTTGCTCATCCGCTTTGATCGACTTCGAAGTAGTTTCCTTCTCATCCGAAACCCCACTCCTTGGCTGAGCAGGTGAAATCTGCTGAGGTTGAGGCGTCATGATAACAAAGGTTTCAGCAACTTTTACAGTGTTTGAAATGGACAAACAGAACATCGCGGAGGAACTCTCTTCGCCTTCCGTAGCGCTTCCTTCTTCTTCAGAGAAAATGACAGACAGCTGGGGTATGGATGAATAT